ATTAGATACATTATGATATGGCAAAGATCAGCAAGGGATGAAATTAGAACGCACTTCTAAAGCTCACAATATATTTTCATAAATCAAATTACTTTATTCCATTCTCGACTTACAAATAAAATCTCAATTAGTTAAAATATATGGATAATCATAATTTCTCACTTTCTCTTTACAATGTGAAAATAGAGAGTATGAACAGGACGAATGAATTTCTTCATAACAGCGTTGCCAGACGACAGCTAATTATCTGTCCAGCTGAAACTCAAAAGTCCTCCAGGTTACCATCGATCCATTCATAAAACAAAAAAAACTTTCTGATTATGAACGAGTTTCGTATTTACTGCAAAATACGTTTCTTAAAGCGGCTTGCAGTTACCCTTGACCGATAGAAATCGTCAGTTTGGCAAGAACTGTCATCATACCTCTGCACGCGTGGTCGTATGGAGAGGTGTAGCTTTGAGCTTGTCTGGAGATGGCTGGCGGTATTCACTTTATGATTACCCGCTAATTATCGTTTTCGAATCGACGAAAGCGATCTTTAATTTTTAGCCGACTTCAAAAAAGGAGGAGGTTCTCGATTCGTCTGTATATTTTTCTTTTAATGTTTGTTACCTCATAACTTTTGACTGGGTAAATCGATATTGATGATTCTTTTTTTATTAGAAATCTTCCCGTGTAGTCCCACTTCAATTTAGTCCAGTTCTGATAATTGTATCCATGAGAAAACTATATAAGTCTTAAATTTGCATTACGTGCGCGACAATAATAACTCAATATCACGCCAACCTATTTAGATGATTATTGTTTTTAGTGTATATTAATTTGTTTTGGAATATATATTTTTTCTATTTGAGAGTCGGTTTTTGTTAAAGCATGTCTATTTACAATTATTTAAATCCATGTATATTTCAGAACGGAATTTGTGACAAATTTCCCAATAAACGGAATTTAATTGCACCAAACAACTCTTTAGACAACTATCAAGGGAAACAAGAATGTTATACGAAGCATATAGTTAAATGTTTAATTGACCGTCTAACAGGTCAGCTAAGACTGTTTTGATCGCGAGAGAGTATTAAACTTATATCCAATGCCCCTCAATGTTGGTCGACACTATCACACCAACGACCTGGCAACGCTGTTTCTATTCTAAATCTATATTTTTAACTTAGATTCGAATCGATACAAATAATACATACAAAACGAAATAAACGTGTCACACGCATTATTCCCTCTTAAAAACGCATCCGCAAAACAAATTACTTATGAGTATTTCGTTAGTTAAATTAATCTTTCATGTCAAAACGGTTTTAATTATTATAGAGATCTTGAGTTTTGTTCTTTTTTATATATTTTAATTTAGCGTTGGTAACATCGGTGGTATGCTTACCAAAAATAAAGCAGTTCTTTGATATGAATTATTATTAAGAAGACGAGAAACAACGATATTTAATATAAACTAATAAAACATCAAGAGCGCCCACAAGAAAAAACATTAGATAGGCCCTACTTCTTACATTAGCACACTCAAAACACACCTCTTTTCAAGAGTTTCCACAGTATTATTTGTTTATTTATTAAATTACCTACAATTTTCTCAGTTTTATGCATGAAGTGTAGAGATAAGGAGCAATATCTTGTATAGGGAACTTTTTTTTTTTTCTTAGATGAGTGGACGAGCTCACAGCCCGCCTGGTGTTAAGTGGTTACTGGAGCCCATCTACGACGTAAATGCGCCACCCACCTTGAGATATAAGTTCTAAGATCTCAGTATAGTTACAACGGCTGCCCCACCCTTCAAACCGAAACGCATTACTGCTTCACGGCAGAAATAGGCAGGGTGGTGGTACCTACCAGGGCGGACTCACAAGAGGTCCTACCACCAGTAAAATTGAAAATTGAAAGAGTGTCCACCTCTAAACAACAAGCTGTAATTCGAAGACTTACCGATAAAGCGCTAGTGTAGGAAGTGGAAATGGTATGAATATAGCAGTTTTAAACAGAGTGAAGTGTGTTAGTTTATGACGCTGTTTTTTTAAATCTTTCCACTTGCCACTATGGCGCCACCATAATTGGCTCCCTTTTTCTCTTTTTAATATACTGAGACGATGCTCCCTACTTCTACCCTCCATAGTTTTATGGTGTACATTTGACATACGACAGATCAAATGAGGCTGTCAGCGCAAAGGTGGCCTAAGCCTACCATAATTATATATGGTATACATACTCTACTATGGTATACATACTACATACTTATTACTGTGTCCTTACTAACTTATTTTTAAGAAATAACTGTTACTAACATTTATATGGATCATTATCTGAAATAAGGAATTTAATAATAATAATGTGGAGATAAGGTCTGAAATTAGTTTTACAATGCTTTAGCGATAAGACCACCAATTGTACTTTTTTGTATTTAATGTATCATCATGCACTGTTTATTTGTTTTTTGGTGTACAATAAAGGATACTCTCTCTCTCTCTCTCTCTCTCTCTCTTCGTAGGCAAAAATAATGTTTACAAAGCCATCTATTATCTATGAGTGATACTAGGGATAGGCCGCTTTTGAATCAACATTTATTACCTATATTAAATAAATTGCAATACATATATAAACACGTATATGAAAAATTGTGGGTTAGGTTACTTTTGCGCTGACGACCTCAAATGACCTATGAAAAACGTCAAACTGATGATGAACTGAACTGGTCTTTTGTGGCAGCGAAGTCACACAAGTTCACACTTCTTCACGCTATATTTCATATTTTCTTTATTTAAATACTTGACGCAGGCAATAGCTCTACATAATAATGGCCAATCTTTTTCATAATCTAAATTCGTTTTTGTATTCTCGATTTATAACTAGCGGCTTCTATCGCTTTATTGATTTTTTTTTTTATTAAAAAAAACAATGTTCTGTTGTTCCATTTTCTAAATGAAAAATACTTAAATAAAACACGTCATTCCTAAAAATATATAAAACTATTGTAAAATGCACGAATAGGTAGGAAAAAAAGCATGTTTATATAGAGAGATATTATGATGACATTATCAGAGAATTATATTAACTTACACTTTGATGGTGCTGAAGTTTTGTCGACGTACGTTAAAGCTTCTAATTAAATCTTAGAACTATCGTTATTATTATTTTAAGTTAATCTATACAGCTCGACCAAGCTAAGTTTGCACCTCGCATCGATTACGCCATACTGCCGCTTAGGTATGGTCTGAAAAAAGGATTCGCTATGACTTTAAAAATGTAAACAAATGTTTGTTAGATTTTACTTTGCATTTATTGTTTTTAACAGGGAAACGAAAACTCGTATGACGCGTGTCGGCGACAAAGATGCTAACCGTACTGATTCGACAGGGCGATCGCGGGAAGGTGAGCGGGGGAGCGGGCGGGGCGCCGCATTCCAGCGTGGTGCAAATTTAGCTTGGTCGTGTTGTACATGCGGGAGAGCCTTCATAAATCCCAATTTCAAGGCTATCAGAGGTAATCAATCTTATAATTGGCGCCTCAATGATCTTAGATTAAAATTAAACAGTACTTAATTGATAAATTAGTCATGGTATATTAATATGTGATATAAATAAAAGTATAAAGCCATTTTTAAATCTCATTCGAATTAATTAAATGCATTTCATTTTATTTTCAATCCTTTACAACGTAATATATTATACGATTGAGTTTTGTTGGATTTTTTTTTATATTCACATAGTAGATGCAATAAAAATTAGGGTTTACAAATTACTTAAGATATTTTTAGTAGACGGAATTTTTTTTTAAACTAGTTATCCAGCTGCCTTCGTCAAAACTGAACGTATGCAATATAGAATTTCTAAAATAAATTAATTTAAAAATGAAAAAGTTTAATAATTAATTTAAATTGCATTTTAAATGTAATTGTAAACAATCACATTTACTTAAAATAAGATAAAAAAGCAATTAAAACGGTAACGCTAAATCTCATTTAACTGCTTCAGTATTATTTCGTGTATAAAAACATGAACAGTATTATTTTATTAATTTCATACAACATCGATAATGATATCTCATCTCTCTCGCACCTCATCCAAACTCTAGACACAGAAAGAGATGTACGATGTGTTCAAAGCGGGTTGTCAATTTTGACACATACTTTTTTTTATCAACTCGTGCAAATGCAATGACTTTTTTTACAAGCTGCCAGCCGTGAGCGTTCCGAGCATAGAAACTGAAGCATAGTAGCTTCGAATTCGAAAACTGATCTCACGTCACAGGTCACTGGCCATCGTGGTTTTTAAACAAGATAAAATAAATTATTGATGAATTAAAATAAAAATTTCCACTCAAAGAATATGGACATTCGACGGTCATCGTATTTCATGTACTATGCCCGGCAAAAGTGGATGGATAATTCCAAAGCATGTGTCCATGCACTTATGCAACTGATTGTACTTCGTCATTACGGCGTACAAGCCGAGAGTTAGCCAAACTCATACAAACTCATCACAGCGGTAACTCTCACCACAGCCAATGTATTTTCATAGAGAGCTTTCCATCCTATAAGCTTTTGAAGATAAACCTATGCGTTCGATCTAGGATCTAGTTATATATTATTTACACTTCACTACTCTCACTAGCTAGGCACTATGTTTTATTTTACAAATGATACTCTGAGTATTGAGGCATTCCTACAGATCTTTGGTATTCGTAAAGCATAATATTACTGAAGCGATATTACCTTTATCATCAGCTTAAGTTGGCAGATGTTTTTTTTATGACCTGGTAACTAAGACCTTGAAGTCTCTAAACCTAAAGAGTTCTCTTTGAATTCGTTCTTTCATTCAGTACTGTCAACTGTTACGAACAAAATATTCTGATATGATTTCAAAATTGGAAATATTACTTATTCAATAGGTACGTTTTTTTTAACTTATTATTTTAATTTATATAAAGGGATTCTTGTGAGACGGATATTAAAAAAAAATTAAGCTCGAACTGCATCTCATACCAACTCTCTATATTACAAGTTACCGATACTACATTTGCCAGATTATTTCTAAAGCATAACTCTATTTAATTCCAGTTCTCTATACATTTATATAGAGACAATTTTATGCAACGCCAATGTTAGTATTGATGTCGATAAATATAACTGTTTTGTTATCGATACGGGCATTACTGTTGTCAGAGTCCGATTTCCGCCACCAGTATCAACCAGCAGTCCGGTCCGATACTTATATTTAACCATAGCTATTTAACCTAAAAATTGATTATACGTTAATAATTGCCAATAATCGATTATTTTATCACTTTACGTACGGATAATTGGTGCGTTTACGTATTAATTAGCATCGTTGTATATTCGAACGTCACTGTCTACATGACATCAGGCACTAGTGAGGGGGAGGGGAGGTCGGTCGGCGTCCAGCAAGCGTAGAGTCGTTGTATTCTCGGATGTCAGTATCGACGTGACATCAGGCACTAGTGAGGAGGGTGGGGGGTCAGGTGGGGGGTCAGACGGGGGTGCCGGGCGGGGGCCGCTCGTCGAGGGACACGTCCTCGGGGCTGGCGAGGTCGGCGCGCAGCCTCACGCCGCGCCCGCTCAGCGTCCACCGACACGTGCTGCGACCGGACACTCTGGGGAAGAATCAAACGTTTAGTGAAACAATCAGGGTGTAAGTTTGTATACATGTTGAGCTTGTTATTAGAATTATCATTAATTATTAATAGACACAACTGTCAACAAAAAAACATTCAATTGAACGTAATCTTGCTTATATAAATCTCATATTGATAAAGGCTATTTTGTTTAAGCGACATTTTCGCAACATTACAATTAAATTTAAAAAAATATATAATGACAAAAAATTTCTTCAGCTATTTGAACGTGGTAAACATAATTGACATTCAATTAAGAACATCAAACTGTTATAATATCAAATATAACGCACCTTTAATTACAAAGATAAATGTCGCGTGTTAAGCGAAATGTCGCTTAAACCAGATAGCCTTTCCCTCCTCAATATATAATACCATTCTAGTGTCTACGTCTGCACGGCAGAAGGACGCTGTCCCCTCCTGGCTGAGCCTTTGCTCGCCAACTTGTCCTTGTAAAACTTGAAAGGCCTCAGGGCCACCAGTAAGCTCTCAATCACAAATAAAAAAAAAGTACGCTGAAGCGACCAATAAAGTTATTTAGTTAACCAACGTATTAAGCAACCTGCAAAGTCCGTCGTCTTCCTCCCTTGGTCGTTCTTCCTCCTCGGCGCTGGCCTCCGAGCTGGATCCCTCCGAGCTGCCTCCACCTCGATACCTCTCCACTTCGTCTGTTGCTGTGTTCAACATAAACATCAATAGCACGACAATATATTTTTAAGCTATTGCATAGCTTTTATCGCGGGCTTTGGGCGCGGCGACCAAATCAAGAAATTCCGTAACGAAAATAAAACCTAACACTCCGCCTACCATGTAGCTCGCGTTTAATACATTCACTCGTAGCGCTTGTGTAGTGTTTGTGAATAAGCGAGCGGCGTGACGTCGCACCGTATGCGCATCATGAAAAGTCTGCCCATCTCTCTCTCACGTGGTCTAGTTTATGAGGGTGAAGGGAACAGTTAATATTTTGCTTTTGATAATGTTTAATTTTATTATTGTTTTAATATTAAACTATTACTGTCTAATTATAATTGCATAAGTTGATAAAAATGCTATGCAATAGCTTTACAGCGGCAGTCCCCGAGCGCCACATGTGTTTTATTAATTACGCATTTTTTTTCCTATTTTTATTACACAACGTTATTCCTTTACCGTGGAAGTTACTCGTGAACATTTCTTAAGTACGTATTTCATTAGAAAAATTGTTACCTGCCTACGGGATTCGAACACCGGCGCAGTCGCATCGTTAGATACGAATGCAGCGGACGTCTTATCCTTTAGGCCACGACGACTTCCAGACAGGATGATGTTACTGTGAAAGGAGATTGCCCATTCTTGGTTTCGTGTTGTGCTACGATCAAATATATATTAAAAATTAAGTTTTTATTTTTAACAATTTCCTCAAAAATATTATAACTTCGCCGGGTATAGAAGATTAAAATAATTAGTAATTTAAAAACTTCTAACCTAGAAGTAGTTCAATTTTCCTAATGGAAAGGCAAAGATGTTATATCATACAGCCTAATCTTTAAAAAAAGATGATATTATGGAGTGAAATGAAATGAAGCTGATTAATTTGAGATATTAATCAATTGGCATGAAATGAAATAAAATGAAATGAGATGAGATGATATGGGATGAAATATAATCTCAGTAAAATGGTGGTTATTTACTGAGACTTTTTCAGTGGACTTTTTGGAGGATTCCAAGAAGTTATGCTCAGCCAGCGGCTTTGTTTCATTTTCTACTTCTTTACTAAACAGTTAATGAACCACCGTTATTACACATTTCAACCTAAAGAAATATTAAATAGACAAAATATAACAATGCACACAGCTTCGCTCCTCGCGTTCCCGCCAAAAAAGTCTGTCAAATGTCAATCTCAAACCTGTGTTGACAGTCACATTATGTTTAGATTTCTAAATTGTAACTGACTAATATGTAGTTTGCCAATTGAATTGACTAATTTAATTTCATGCCAATTGATTAATGTTCCAAATTCTTTTCATTTCATTTCACTTCGTATTATCATTTTTCACAAAAAAAAAATATTAGGCTGTATGGTATGATATTCTTGCCTTTCCAGTTGGAAAAATACAACTACTACTACTACTGACATTTGACAAGTAGGTGCTGAATTATTATTTTGATTTACCTACTGGCGTCGTTTCTCATGTTTCCGATCGAGTTAAGTATCGTGTGTTTCGTTCGGTCATATTATTCGTTATTTTGTTAGACAGAAGTCCAGGCATATTGGGGGCAGAATTAATTTATTTATCATACGTACTTATTGATTAATCGCGATGAAAACGTTGCTAATACTATTAATTCAATCTTTAGTTATTACTACAGCTATCTCGTTGGCAATTGAACTGTGGGTTGTTGTGTCCATGTTAGGCTGGGCTGAGCTAGGTATAATGATACATCGGCATAATATGAGAAATAAATTACTTTATGTCTATTTTTGTTTTATTTTGAATTGCCGTAATAGTACCGCCTTTATTTAACGAATGGACGCAGTGGCCCTATCCACACAATACTATGCTAGGTAAATAAGTTTATACTATAAACATGTTTTCATTAATAAAATACTTTATACGTATGTTGTTAAGTACGTAGGAACTCAGCATAATCAAAAAATATCCACTGCTGTCTTGTACAAAAAATAACCTAATTCTATAAACTTCATTGGTCTTTTACTAGCAAATCCGGCGAACTAGAGATACATATTTTTTTGTAAATTAATAAACATATTAAACCCTACAAAATGAGGTAAGTTACATGAGAGCACAACTTGAAACCAAATTCCATACTGCAATGGGCATTCTCCTTTGTAGATAAATGATGTTGTTTCGCCGCGTGCTCACCTCGCTTCTCGTCGCAGTCGGGCGCGTCCTCCAGGCTCTTCAGTATCTCGGCGCACAGCTCCGAGTCCAGCGGGACGGGGTTGTCCGAGTCCCTGCGCGACACAAGCGGACATACTGAGCACACGGGACACGCGCCACACCAATGACGTATACATAACAAATTCTAGAAGGTTCTTTATGATTTTATGATTATGGCAACTATTACCAACGACGTATAAATTTCAAATCCTAGAAAGGTCTTTATGATTTTAGTAACTATTTCAATGTTTTTTTTTTGTGTGAGGGGGGGGAACTCCCAATTCGGTCCCGTCGTCGGATTCTGTTTCTGTTTTGGCTTCATTAAGCATAAATAGCAATAAGTAAGTATTTGTACAGTAAACAGTCGACGTCACCCAAAACACGCCATTTCGGATCCTCCCGATCCACTAACGGTGCTTTTAGGTACCTCAAGCACCGGTCATCGTTTTCGTCGAATCCGTAGCTTGCTCGGCGAGTAAATTGACCCACAGACACAACCCATTGAGTTTCTCACCAGATCTTCTCAGTGGGTCGCGTTTCCGATCCGATGGTAAATTCTGCGAAGCACTGCTCTTGCTAGGGACAGTGCTAGCAACGTCGTCAGGTTTGAGCCCCGTGAGCTCACCTACTAGTTAGGGGGATAGGGGGGGGCTACCTGTTGTGCAGCACTAGCGCGACGGTGGCGGGGTGGGGCAGCGGGGGGTGCAGCGCGGCGCGGGGGCTGAAGGCGGCGGGCTCCAGTGCGGGCGCGGACACGCGCAGCGCCGGCCCCGAGCCCCACGAGCACCACACGTCTGTGGAACACAACAGATACAAACTCACTGTAACAGAGCGAGGGATGCAGGATCCCGAGCATAATAATGAAGCGATACTATTAGTTATTTTGTACTCTCTTAATTTCGAATCTATTTTAGCTGTACCCGTCCGCTTCGCTGGGCATTTAAAATTAATATTATTATTTCTCACCCCTACAATGATTCTCATAATTAACGCCCCCGCAACTGGTGTAGAGAGTCCAACACTCATATAAATATTAGCCTATCCATTAAGTACATGTATTTTCTACATGGATACGAAGTTTCAAGTCAATCGAATGTATGGTTCAGTAGTTATAACGGAACATCCGTAAAAACCACTGTAGATTTGTATATTATGTATAGATGAATCAAATCAAATCAATTTTTTTTTATTCAACATAAATGAATGTACATACTTGTTGAACGTCAAAAAGAACTACCGCCAATTCACAAAAACTAGCCTTTGTCCTCAGAAGAACTGGCAAAAAACTCAGCGGGCGTGTCTTTTTTTTTTGTGTCCGACCTTTGCATTGCTGACGTCTAAAGTTCGGGAACTGTTTTTGGTTTACGACTAACGCATGAAAGGTGGCGCTCGATTAGTTTTTCATTTTGAATCGTAATATAATCCGCTCTGGGTCCGCTAGCAGTATAATTACACGGGCAGTCGGCGGGCTGGTCGTGGTCGTGGTGCGGCAGCACGTCGGGCGGGGGCGCCCCCTCGCTGCCCTCCAGCGGCAGTCGCGCTTCGCCGTCCTGCAGCGCCACCACCGTCTCCGCGTCGAACACCTGGACGTCACATACGTGAGGTTACTTACAGATCAGCCGTGCTAATGGAGCCGATACTTCACAACATTTTGTGTTGCTAATAGAATGCTAGCAATACATCAATCTTCTTAAGACATGAGATTGATATGCTTCATGGCAGTTGGGCTAGCTCACAGCCCACCTGATGTTAAGTGGTTACTGGAGCCCATAGACATCTACAACGTAAATGCGCTTCCCACCTTGAGATATAAGTTCTAAGGTCTCAAGTATATATACAACGGCTGCCCCACCCTTCAAACCGAAATGCATTACTGGTTCACGGCAGAAATAGGCGGAGTGGTGGTACATACCCATGCGGACTCACACGAGGTCCTACCACCAGTAATTATAATTTTGCGGGTTTGATTTTTATTACACGCATGTACATACGAATGGACCGGACGTCTTCTCCTTTAGGCCACGACGACTTCTGAATGGCGGTCCCCACCCTTGCGGCCTCACACGCTCACCCCTAGCACAGTGCGCACCAGTATATCGAGACCTACCTCGACGAGCATGTTGGCGGCGAGCCCGTGCCAGTCGTCGGGCGCGAGGCCGCGCTGCGCCCACCACGACTCCTCGCGCGCCTCCCGCCGCCACAGCGCGCTCAGCTCCGCGGCCGACGCTTCGATCGCCCGCTGCGCACGACAACGAGGTTATAACGCGACGGCGAACACGTCCGGCGCCCGCGGAGCGCGCGACGCGACTGCGCCGGGGACTGTTCACTACCCACTACCCATCCATAGACAGATGTCTTTTTTTTTAAGCTCCGTAACGTATCTAAGTATATCTTGTATTATTCATTATCTTGTATATTTCTTGTATATACGATGTAGGTAGACATTTTTTTTTATACCTTTGCTGATAGCTTTGAGAGGCTATTTCAGCTTTACCCTAACATGTACGTGAGCTCACAGGGCTTAAATCGGAGTGTTGCTAACACTTGCCCTAGCAAGAGCAGTGCTTCGCAGAATCTACCGCCGGATCGGAAACGCGATCCACTGAGAAGATCGGGTGAGAAATTCAGTGGGCTGTGTCTGTGGGTTAATTCGCTCGGCGAACCTCTTCGTCGCAAGCGACGGGTTCGGCGAGGAAGACATCATAGCATCATGTAATAGAAATCTAATTAGTATAGTAATTCAGTTGAATTCAATTCATTTATTATCGGATAATAATAATCCGTCGTCACCTTTTGAGATTTTAACTTTTTGAACTTTTCGTGTAGTTCACAGCTCTATCTACCGTATAAAAAAACTGTTATGTGTCTATTGCTTTAATATTTACCTATAGCTTTCATTTGATATAGTTCTTAAAAATTCACCTTCATATAACATTTTATACGAAAATGTTTCTCGTTAAATCAAAATAGAGTTTTTGCACATAGCAGATTTTGGTTTGGCAGCGACGACATACTACTTGTGAAATGTTTCAGGGCTAGAGGAGAGTGCGCCGGTTACCCTGAGGTCCCGCGGGGAGAGCCGCGCCCGCGCCCGCGCCGCGTCCGACAGCGGCAGCGCCAGCTCCCGGCGCCGCGCCGCCACCTTGTCCCGCAGCGAGCCCGCCAGCGACCCGCACTCGCGCTCCAGCTGCCGGTACGCGCCGCGCTGCCGACAACACGCGGTAAAGGCCTCGTCAAACATAACGCGTACTTAACGTTATAGCGTTGCGGTTTTAAGGTCGCGCTCTTTTCATGTCACACAGATTGATTAGATCAGCCTAACGCTCCTTGACGCGACGTAACATTCTCCAAAGCATAGTGCCTTTCGATAGCAGTGTGAAAATTTAAAAGTATTAAGATTTCGAGTGATCCAGATGTGGCATTTTATAAGTATGAGTATTATTCTGCATAGCACTTGAACTCTGAAAAAAAAAAAACTGAAAATCGCTCGCTTAGATAGCGAGTCGAACTGAAAAATGTATTTTTTTTATCCGCTCATTCTGGTCAGGATATTATTAAGTAATAAAATTATTGCGTTGTCGTCAGTACCTGATCTGAGAGCAATCATTCGAGTTATTGGGAAATCTCGAAGTTGCTAAAAACGATGTTGAAAGATTCCGTCAAATAGATGGATAAATAGAAACAGGTAAGGTTATTGTATTCAAGGCGTGTGTACAATTAATTATCTCAAGTGTCCAAGTACAGCATCCGTACCTTGGCTATTTGTACGGAGAAGGGCCCGAAGCAGGCGTCCACGAAGTGTTCGAAGTCCCTGAGCGGGCGCTCGATGGCGCGCTCCGTGTCCGCCGCCCAGCGACCCAGCGCCTCCAGCTCGGCGCGCGCGCACACCGCCGCCGCCGCCTGCGTGCACCTGCGCGCACGCCCGCACCTCACACCCGCGCCACGCACCCGCCGCCAGGGACCAGTCGCGGTCCGAGGGGGGTAGCGACATTTGTCGATGTCTATGAGCTCTAGTAACCACTAATCATCAGATGTACAACGAGTACGTTTGCCCAACGAACTCTTTAACTATCTTCCTACTTATTCTACGGTTTGTTTGAACATAATAATTGAGTGAACAATGAGTGCACCCCGATACGTAAGCATCTTAAGGTAGCGTCAGTGCGCTACTTTAATAAAGCGGCGCGACATGATAACCCTCTTATCGTAGTTGCCGCTTAGTACTTATCCGACTCAAGCGACAGGGCAACGCAAAGCTAACGTCGCCCGAAATATGTCTTCTCAGATCCCCGGGATCCACCCTCCGTGCTTTTAGGCTCTTCAAGCCACCATCCTCGTTGAACTAGTCGATTACAACGGAAACTTCGACGAACGAACTAATCCATAGACACGGTCCTTTGAGTTTCTCAGTGGGCCACGACTTCGATCCGGTAGTAAGTTCCGCGAAGCGCTGCTCTTGCTAGGGCTAGTTTTCTTTCAGGTTGAGTCCGTGAGCTCACCTACCCGTCTGGACGTAGCTGGAATGGCCCCTTAAGCTACCAGCAAATACGTGGCGAAAAGAAAAATGAGTGTGTGTATTACGTGAGCTGGTAGTAGACGCGCGCGTGCAGGCCGGGCCCGCGCACGCGCCGGCAGAAGGCGGAGTCGTGCGCCGGCACCCGCGCGCGCCGCGCCGCCACGCCGCGCCACGCCACGCTCTCCCACACGCCGCGCGCGCCCCACCACGCCACGCCGCCTGCCGCGGCACACTCACACTCTATACTATCCACTAGCGGTAGTCCGACAGAGCCACCTGTAGCGGCACTATGGGTAACGAAACACCCACTCTAATTACGAGAGTGGGGATATTCAATTCGAAAATGTATTCAGAATACTAAACCTGAAAGGTTCAAGGATTCATTGGAAGTGGTCCAACATACTGTCCTTTTTTGGGTAAATGAAACAAATCCTTTATAATTTGAAGCAGATACGCTTAAACAATAAGTGATATTTTCTGAAAATATTTTAAATGTACAGTAAAGCTTATGTAACAGTGTCACTACGTAATAATATAGGAGGTAGGTGGATTGATTATATTGATTGATATGACGGGATTGCGACGTTGAAGTGGCAGTGGGTAGGACACATTGCTCGTAGAACGGATGGCCGTTGGGGCCAGAAACTTCTTGAGTGGCGACCGCATACCGGAAGACGTAGCGTGGGTAGACCTCCCACAAGATGAACCGACGATCTATTAAGGTTCGCGGGGATCCGCTGGATGCATGCAGCGCAGGACCGGTTTTTGTGGCGAGGCTTGGGGGAGGCCTATGTCCAGCAGTTGACGTCTGTGGGCCGATAAGAAGAAGGTGGGGAGGGGGGGTGGATGTGCTCACCGACGAGCAGGACAGCAGCAGCCAGCGGACAGAGCAGCAGCGCCGTGAGCAGCGCGGCGGCGGGTTGCAGCACGCCCAGCACCGCTACTCGCCACAGCACCACCTCCAGCAGCGGACACCACCTGCACACAGTACCGGGATTCGGCTACAGGGTTAAGCAGATTTCATATGTACTATTTGTTTAATCGCTACTTAATAAATCTATTATATTATATTGAATGTATTGCATTTTTTTAAAGGGATTTTATGACATGGTAACCTTTAGGTCAAGTCATATTTTAATTCTAATAAAAACTTTTTTATATATAAATGAAATTATGAAATGAAATGAAGTTGATTAATATGAAACATGGCATGAAAAGGAAGACAATGGTGGTCATTCACTGAGACTTTTTCATTTGACATTTTGGAGGATCCCGAGAAGCTACGTCCAGCGCCTTTGTTTCATTTGGGACATTTGTGGGACATTTGTGCAATTACACAGATACTAAACATTTAATAAACCACCGTTATTACACATTTAAACCTGAAGAAACACTAAATAGACAAAATAAAACAAATCACACTACTTCACTCCTCGCTATTCCGCCAAAAAGTCTGCGATAAGCGGCTTGATGTGCCAGTGTTGCCAGTAATGCACGCTACACGTTTGGCAAGTTGATATATTAGCGTGCCGGGCACAGGGTACCTGTTGAGTGCTGGGTCGGGCGAGTCGGCGTCGTAGAGCACGGCGTGCGCCACGTGCGCGGCCAGCGCCAGCGGCGGCGTCCACAGCGGGGCCGCCAGCGCCAGCAGCACCGCCGCCGCCGACACCGCCAGCGCGCACACCGGGAACACCACCAGCAGCGCCGCCGACCCGCCGCCCCCCACCACGCCGTACCACCACACGCGGTGCGCCCACCGACTCAAGCCCTTGCCCAGTAGGCCTGACAGTCGAAATCACACAAAGGAACTGATAGGAAATCACTACACTATATACAATAATATTTTAGATGATATACACATGGATGAGATGATGGAATCGTCTCGTTTTTACCAGGGTACAGTCCGCAACCGGAGTAGAATTCATTCATACTACCTGGAGTCACTGCGGTCATGCACAGTGCGTTTCCAGAGACCGTTTTTTTTCACGTACCATCCGGCTTTGGAATGAGCTCGCCTGCATGGTGTTTCCCGAACGCTATGACATGTCCTTCTTCAAACGAGGCTTGTGCAGAGTACTTAGCGGTGGGCAGCGGCTTGGCTCTGCCCCTGGCATTGCAGTCCATGAGCGATAGTAACCACTCACCATCAGGTGGGCTATATGCTCGTAAGGGTAATAAAAAGAATACAGCAATTAACAACATATCACATCATACTGTGTCGTGATTGGTATTCGCATTATATGTAAAGGCCAAAAACGGATAAGGCAAATTAGGAATATTATAATTTTTTCAGACAGTTTAACGAGCCACCGCACCCTGGTGGTTAATTGTTACCTGAGTCCACAGACATATCAGTCGCGCAATGAATATCACCACTTAGCTTTAGACTTGGAACCAATCAATTATACTATGGACAGGAGAGACACCCCCCCGCTCCGACGACCGTTCTAAGCACCGAGCTAGTGCGCGAGGACTCACCGGTGTCCGGTTCGGTTTCGAACTTCGTGCGCTGTTTGGACACGTGCCTCCACAGCGCCAGCAGTCGCGAGCACATCGTGTGGGTTTCGCTGCTCTTCTTCGGATATAAAACTCCATTCACCTATATACATACATCCCTTTTAGTGCTCAGCTTAATTTCCCATATTTTGAAGAAATTGATGCAAGGATTTTTGAAAAAAAAAAACGTATAAAGTTTAAATTAAACAAATCAATGCTAAATTCAAAGCAAAATAATGTTGAAATGGTTAAATAAAAACGTTATTAGGTTATTGAAAAACATTATATCCGACGCTCAGCACTTTATATGCAATAGAGAGTCGATCTATCAACGGTGGCCGCAGAAAGGAATATTAATCCTTAGTCATCCACAGTCTAGATAACGGTAGAATTGAAACGAGCCGATTAAAACCAAGAGTTCGAGGGGAAAAGTCTGTTAGGACCTTGTTGAAAACTGTTCTTTGGTGTGATTTTATATAAAAACTAATGTTTTTTCGGGATAAAATGTACCCTACGTCACTCTCCCGACCACATACTACATCTTTTAAAAATATATGTTAATCCAGTGCCTGAAAAAAGGACAAACAACCACACTTTCACATTTATAATATGATGGCCATGATATGATGTGCCGGTGGAAATAAGCTTATCATGCATGTGTAGCACCACCATGTAATATATTGCCACCAATGTATCCAATATAACGTAAGACAGTCGCATTATATTATATTGTATAAGAACCTTCTAAATCAGTGTTCAGCAAGCGTACCGTATCTAACGATAAATAAATAAATAAATAGCGTAAATCTTAACTTATCTTTGTTTGAATTCACTCTGACATACAAAGTAAAAAAACAAAATGTGTGCAATTCACACGTGGTAGAAGTGAAACCGTCCAAAATTAAAATACAATTATCCTAAATGTCTCAAGTATATGTAAAATTTTGTCATTAGTAAATAATTGTAAGGTAGCGCCCTCTGTGAATTGATATTTTAATTTCACGTATTAAAATTCACTACAAGAGCTTTCATACACACGTTAGTATAAAAAAAATCTCACAGATGGCGCTGTATTAAATAGTATGTATATTTCTGTCTCATTCTTTGCTGGCTTCATCCTACACATTTTTGTATATGTGTCTCTTACCTGTCGTTTTTTCCGTTGCATCCGGTTTGAAATCACAACGATTCTAAAGAAGTTTTCACTTCAATAAGTACCAAAAGCACGAACACGCTAAGACGGATATAGTATGTAGTTAGAAGTCGTTCACCTGGGAGACCTCTAGCTCCGGCGTGTACGGCTTGACGCAGACCAGCGCTCGCAACGACAGCGGGGAGCACCACGGCACCACCACGCCCAGCACGTACACCAGGTTCCAGCTCCAGCACCATATTCTGTACAGACACTACTCATTATTACCCCATCACTATCGTAAAGTAGTGCTGTGGTAAGATATTTGTAGCGTATTCAACAGATTCCGGTAACATAGTATTTTGTTAACCTAGCATTTGTAATGAATATTTACATCTAAATGATCTAGGAAGTTTTTTTTATAAAAAATCTCAAATATTAATACTTTAGAAGATTAATATCAATTCTGATGCATATTTGAAATTCGCTAAGATTTATTTAATATTTGCCATTGCAGATAAAATAGCTTACGGCTCATTTCATAGTGTGTCTTGTTCGTCACCCATGGACATCAACAATTCGTAATGAAAACAGTTCTATAAAGTCTGAAGTCGTCGTGGCTTAAAGGATAAGACGTCCGGTGCATTCGTATGTAGCGATGCACCGGTGTTCGAATCCCGCAGGCGGGTACCAATTTTTCTAATGAAATACGTACTTAACAATTGTTCACGATTGACTTCCACGGTGAACGAATAACATCGTGTAATAAAAATCAAACCCGCAAAATTATAATTTGCGTAATTACTAGTGGTAGGACCTCATGTGAGTCCGCACGGGTAGATACCACCGCCCCGCCTATTTCTGCCGTGAAGCAGTAATGCGTTTCGGTTTGAAGGGTGGGGCAGCCGTTGTGACTATATTGAGACCTTAGAACTATAATATATCTGTGTCTATGGGCTCCAGTAACCACTTAACACCAGGTGGGCTGTGAGCTCGTCCACATATATAAGCAATAAAAATAATAATAATAATAATACCGTGTTAAAATAAAGCGCAGATAGAAAACAGGATGTTTATGAACTCATAATGTCTGTCGGTTGTATTGTGATGTTGCGAGTTCTAAAATAAAAGTGCGCGCTGATCCCTTGAGTCGTGTTTTGCTCTCTCACCCCTCGCCGTCATTATTTTATCACTGAATTAATTAAGTGATATTTAACGTGTTTTATTTGCTTCTACAGCAACCCTTGGGTTATATAAACCATACATCCTAGTACTGCCTCAGTTTGTAATTATATATTATATTTACAATTCACCGTACCGGATCGCATGTTTGAGTGTTAGTGTGCGTACCTATAGGCGAGGTTGAGCAGTCTCCAGGCCGGCCAGCGCGTGGAGGTGGTGGAGACGGCGTCCCTCCGCAGCAGGAACACTGGCGGCGCGGCGGGCGGGCGGGCGCGGGGCGGGGCGGCGGGCGCGCGCGCTGCCACGGCGGTGCGCACGCGCTCGGCGCGG